CCATTGTTAAAAAGTGTTCTTACCAAAGAGTTTGAATTTTGTGTTCTCTTCACTACTGCCATGTGTATACATTTATAGACAACTTTAATCGATTTGTTTTACTTGTCGCTGCCATTTTCACGTGGTGTTTTTTGTTTTAATGTTTGTTTGTAACACTGTAGTAACTCGAGATGCCAATATCTGCTCATTTTCAGAGTGTACAGTAAATAGACACACTAATAGTTTTTTTTATCTACCATACGTATTTTTGGTGCAGCGTTTTAAATGAAATTTGTATCCAGCCCGTGTTATTTTAGCCGTTGTATATCCAAATACTTTTAAAGTTGGCCAAATAGACCAACTATACAAATGGCGCTTAGAGATTCCGCTAAATTAACTACACATAGCGAAAAAGAAAGTCACCTAAGTTAAAAGATAAATTTATCCCAAACATTCATTATCTAAAAGGTTAATTTGTTCAATAACAAAAAAAATATATATATAATTAGAAAACTAACTAAAATAGAGGTATGTGGCATAATTATATACACTAGATTTAGGTTAATTGGTTAGGTTCTTAGTTATAATTTTTTTTTGGGTTATTCCACCCAATTCCCTTATCTAAAGTCTTCACAAAATTTAAAGCAAAAATAGTTTTTCTTCATCTTCCTCCTAAATTGACTATAACACTTTTTTTTTCTCCATTCACGTTATTTGAAACAACATTGGTTGTTTGATATTTTAACACTTGCTAATTAATATTTTTGTAAAATAAAATAATCAAATCATTTTTTCTTCGAATTTTACTGATTAATTAGAGACTAAAATGTCATTTTAGAAAATTTAAAGATATATTTTATTTTTAAAAATTAGAATAAATTTGAAATTCCTAATAAAATATAGCGTATACAATCAAACTATTTCATAATATAGTAAGGTCAAGTGGATCTCTTGTTTAAACCAAAAAGTACATTTTCTACATATATTATTAGTGTCATGAAAATGTGTTCGGATAAACTAAACTTTCCGTTTCTTTATTCGCTAAACAAAATATAAACAAAAAAAAATTAAACTATATAGTACCGCGTTTCAGTTAAATAATAATATTTGAAAACTTGTTAAAAGATTAAACACGTGAATCTAGCCATGTGAATTACAGCGTTCAGTTAAAATAATAACGTTTTAGTTAAAAAAACAATATCTGAAATCTTGTTCCAAGATCGAACACGTGAGCGAGCGAATTCGACCACATGATATATATCTTGAATATATAATTTTATAAGATATGTTCATATTCTGTTTTAATATCGAAGAAAAGATTGATTGATGAACATTAGAGGAATTGAGATAAATTGAAAAGAATGTAATTGAGAGGAAAAGAAAAATGATAATTAGAGTAATTGAGAATTAGAGTAATTGAGAAGAATATAGAAAAGAAGAAAAAGTTTGTTTGAATGGTAATAATTAATTGGAGTATTTGAGAATACTTGAGAATAAGTTAATAAAATATATTAATTTAATTCTCTTTTAAAAATTAAAATTTAAAAAAATGATAATAAATAACCAATACATCTATTTATTGCTAAGTATAAGTTTTTTTTAATTTGGGATGTGATATAAGTATGGAAATTTTTTTTCCTACTTGGTTAATAATAATAAGCTGAATCAGATGGTTGTGCCAGAAAACATCCCTAATATTCAGCTTATCAAACCAACCGTTAGTGGACTGAAAGATCAAATAACCTAGGCTAACACTAAAGATGGTGCCTACACAATAAAATCAGGTTATCACTTGCTTCATTCCTCTAATTCCTCATTTGTCCAGCATGTTGATTCGAGAATTCTTAAGATTATTTGGTCCCTAAAAGTTCTACCAAAAATCAAGCATTTATGGTGGCGAAATTTTCACAAAGCGATACCTGTTGTAGAGAGGCTGAGTAGTAGAGGGTTGCGTATTGATACCACTTGCCAACTGTGTGGAGAGCATGATGAAACCATAAATCATATGTTGTCCCAGTGTAGAGTTTCTAAGGAGATATGGGAGCATTCACCTATCTGCCATCTATCAGGTAACCAACTGCATCCTCAGAATTTGATAATAAATTTAGAAAATCTCATGGGGAAGATTGCAATATCAGTTAGAGCTTGTCTTCTATATCCTTTTGTTGGATGGCGCATCTGGAAAATGAGGAACATCCTTATTTTTAATGATAAGCAGGAGCAAATTCCAGAAACCATCCATAAGACTATCATGGACCACCATCAATGCTTAGAAGCGTTAAGCCAAACAAATAACCAACAAGAGCAAGGGCATAAATGCAACCAAGGAAATCATGCTCCACAAACTGAAATGGAGGTTGTGAGATCAACTAATACTTGGTGCTGTTTTGTAGATAGCTCTTGGGTGGCTAGTGATCAGAAAGCGGGTTTTGGATGGAAGCTAATGAATAATGAAGGGATGATGATCATGAAAGGATCTGCGTCAATATGTGCAATTACAAGTCCCTTAGAAGCAGAAGCTTTTGCTCTCAAGGATGCAGTCTAGCAAATAAAAAGACATGGGTATAGAAATGTAACTTATGTGGGAAATCAAAAGTGACTTTTGATACTCTTGACAAATGCTGGAAGGGTGTAAAAGTGGAAGGTCTCAGGATGTTGTTACTTATTGTGAGGATATCATAAGAATAGCTATAAGGGATCTTGGATTCAAGTTTAAAGCTATTACAAGAGAAGCAAATCAAAGGGCTGATGCTACAGCTAAAGCTGCTAGGCTGACAAATGCAAATTATGTAATCTCTTGGTATTGTAATGCCCACTAGTGTATATTATAAACTCTGTAAGACTAGATACAATGGTGCGTTGTAATTTTTTTACAACTGTTGAACAAAGAATAATGGGTTAGTTGTATAATGTGTGATACATATRTGGCAAAATCAGTGTTGTTAAMTAACAACAYGTTGATACACGAAAAATCAGACAAAAATGGGACCACTTTTGTCACATTTAAATAATTTCAGCGATAAAAAAAATTTAGTTGGTCCCCACTTTTT